CTCTCTCTCTCTCTCTCTCTCTCTCTCTCTCTCTGTGTCTCTCTCTCTCTCTGTCTCTCTCCCCACCCCGCTCCTTCCCCCTGCTTCTTCTTCCTCTTTTCGGTCCTCTAATTGCACTTCAAGTCGGAGGTACAAAACCCTCTCTTTCTCAATGTATTTTAAAATATTTAATATTTATTTTGTTTTTTTGTTCCCCCCCCCCTTATAGCAAAGCATTTGTGAAGAAGCATCGTCGTTCGACTTGTCAACGCGGATTATAGAGCAATGTATCGAGGAAGCGGACAAGGTATTGAAAGCGGTGCTGAAAACAGTTCAAGATGGTGAAGCAATGGATGCGGTTGCTAATGCTGAGAACTTCGCTGTTCTGAAAGGTTAGTAGATTGAGCCCTGGGTCGTTGAAGCTCCATCCAGCAAGATGCTTTTGACAAAAAAAAAAAAAAAAAAAAAAACGAAGAAGGGGCAGCCCTTAACCCATTTGTTGTTCTATCCAATTTGATTCCATCAGGATAAAGCTCATGATTTGTTCATTGGCAGTATATCATGTATAGCATGTGTGTGCAGCATTCAGCCACATGGACTGGGTGAAGCGAGGTGTGCTTTTTTTTTTTCAATGTTTGCTTCCCCCCTCTTCTCTTTCTCATTGGCATCTTCTTAATTCCATTGCAAAGAACCACTGTCAAATCAGCTAAAAATTTGGCTCCAGACCTACCGGACCAGACACCGGACCCATACCCAGGCAACAGGACCGTCTGGATTCCGGTCCAGACGTCCGTTCGGTTGCCTATGGTGTGAACATTAGTCCGAGTGTTTTATTCTTTTATTTTATTGTTTTGAAAAGAGCTGATTGGATGGGGGACAAGGACGGCTCAGGCGGCTCTAGGAAAGACGAAGGGGCAGCCCCTCCACCTCCACCTCCTGTGGATACACAGGTGGAAAAGGGGAAAGGCCCTCTCATTCCCAAAACCGGTGTGGAGTTAGCTTTGGAAGCTGTGCTGAAGGCTGCAGAAGCGGCCAAGGCACAGGTGGAGAAGCTGCAAAAGGAGAAGGAAGAGGCAAAGAGAAAGACCAAGGAAGTTAATAGACGGGAAGCCCTTGCTGATTACTTCCTGAAAGTATAAGGAGACAAAAGGTTTAATGAAACCAATCGTCTCCTTGCTAAGTGGATCAGGTTGGAAGTGATTGGCATGCGAGATGCCTACACTTCCTGGGTGGACAAAATGACCACTGTGAAAGACAAGATATCTGTTATTGAAGGTCAGCTGTCCTCCCTCTCTGACACTGTCAACAAGATCCCTATGCCTACTCCTCCACCTTCACCCTCTCCATCCCATTCCAAACTGTCATCATCTTCTGCTGCATCATCCAGACACAGCAGCCCCGAGGACAAAACGGCAACACCTTCAGAGAAAGTGGTGCCTCTGAATCTTGGGGCAGGAACACCTGTGACTCTTGGACAGGGTGCTGTTGAGCCTAGGTACCCCAAGATGACTTCAAAGTGGATGTGACAAACTGGACTGCATCCATGAGATCATATCTCAAGGGGTTCACCTGCCCAAAAGTCAACAAGGTGCAGTCTACAGTGGCTCTACTTGGGGGCTCAGCTCTCAAGTGGGCTACTTCTGAGGCCAGCAAGGCCCAAAAACAACTGGATGATTGGGGAGTTGCAGTAGGATTGGATGACATTTTTCAGGGCTTGGCCAAAGCAAATGGCACGGACCCTTGATCAATCTCTACACAGCATTCGAGCGCCTTACCTCCACACCTGGTCTGGAGATGTCTGAGGCTGACAAGCTAACTTGGTTTGTCAGGGCAGCTCCAGAGAAGTATTCCACAGCCTTGTACACTGCAGGCCACAAAGATCGGAGAGCCTTTGGCAAAGCAGCACTGGATAGGGAGGCTACACTTCAGATCCAGTCCACTTCCCAGAAGGGAAGAAACTCCTCTTCCCAGAGTAGGAGGAAAGGAAAGGGAGGCATGTATGGTATGGAATCTGATGATGATTCTGCAGCTCCTGGCCAGGGTGGATCTACTCCCCAGCTCGCCAAGATGCAGCATTCTCACCACAGCAGGTTGCTCTAGCAGTTACCCAGACATTGATGGCCTTCTCAAAAGGGGGCACTCAATTCCAGGGTCCAAGGAACTCCAGTCCCAAGGAGGGGTCAGGTAAACGCACCCGTGGTCCACAAAAGCCTAACTTACCCAAGTTTGCCAGATACCCAACTAGCCCAATGGATCCTACCTCTTTTCCCTGGAGAGATCTGAGCATCCAGGAAACAGTCTGGCAAAAGAGGAAGGATCAGGTTGTTTGCCTCAGATGTGAGGGCAATCACTATTTGAAAGAGTGCCCAACCTGGGGCAACAATTCAGAAAAATAGACAGGCCAGCAGAGGTTGCAGCCACCCCTGCTGAACTGAATTAATCTCTTTCTGCAGATGATTCAGCCTGTGTGCCAGACCCCATTGAAACTCCAATAGAGTCAATGTACTCATACATTGAGCCCTTTGCAGATGAGACCCCGTTTCAGGGTGAATTTGATGTGCTCTGTTCCCTCTTCCTTCAGTTGAAAGATAAAAGGAAGGTGAAATCAGAACTGATCTTTCTCAAACCGCTCATCAACAGGACCCGACTGAAAGCCCTGTTGGACTGTGGAGCCACCAGGAACTTCATTTCACCAAATGGAGACAGACACTCCATCTAGGTCTCAAAGTCTCAGATTTAGAGCACCCATTGGAGATTCAGATTGGTAACTCTGAGTCAGTCACAGTCAAACAGGTGATCAAAGGTGTTCCAGTCACTTTTGATGCTAAGGGGGAGGTTTCCTCACCTTCCCTTTTATGTGTTTCCTCACCTTCCTCACTTTTATGGCCTTCGTTTTTGACTTCTAGAGGCCCTGGGCGCCTCTTCTTTGATTCTTCACCCCGGGATGCGTCAAGACTCAAAAGTCCTTAAATCGGTAGACCTGGCGTCAAGGGAGGAGCGCAGGACCTCTAGAAGTGAAAGAAGGCACTAGGAAAGTCAACAATCAAGCCCAACCTGTCCACAAAAGTCAAGGAGTCTAAGATTACTTGGGAGTAGACCACAGCCATGGATCAGACACAAATCCAAAGGCTCAATGCTGTTTTCAGAAGCTTCCGAGACCGCTGGGTCGAGGCACACAACTGGAGGCAGCCCAGGCTGAGTCAATACTACAAATACTGGGCCTGCGCCATTTCTTGCATTCGTCTAGCCTTGCGCTGCTTTGACGCTGGAGTGCTAGCGCTGGAAGAAGGCAGACAGAGAGTGATAGTGAAAGTGAGACCAAAAGTGACCAAAGCTAGGAAAGATGGTGCGCTGCACCATAGCTTAGCATGTGTGTGTGTGTGTGTGTGTGTGTGTGTGTGTGTTGTGTGTGTGTGTGTGTGTGTGTGTGTGTGTGTTGTGTGTGTCTGTGTG